TACAATAATAATTACAACGATAATTACAATGTAATTAATACAACGATAATTACAATGATAATTACAATGGGTTTATTACAACGATAATTACAATAATTAATACAACGATAATTACAATGATAATTACAATGGGTTTATTACAACGATAATTACAATAATTAATACAATAATAATTACAACGATAATTACAATGTGTTTATTACAACGATAATTACAATAATTAATACAATAATAATTACAACGATAATCACAATGTGTTTATTACAACGATAATTACAATAATCAATACAATAATAATTACAACGATAATCACAATGTGTTTATTACAACGATAATTACAATAATCAATACAATAATAATTACAACGATAATTACAACAGTGCTATAGACGATATATTCATAACGCATAACTCCTCCTCCCTACAGATGAACATCGTTAACCGGGAGAGTGACGAGCCAAGCATCTACGCCAACCTGAAGGTCTTCGGCAGAGAGATCACCTTCGTAGACCTGTACGGAGCCGACATCGTCCGCGGAATCATGAACGAAGGTAGATATAGCAACATAGGAGAGAGACGGAGATAGTATCCGTCTTATTATAATCCCGTTTTGATTCAGTGGCGCTGTTGCCCATTTTTATTCCATAAGGGGTGTAATTAAGAGCATAGATAGACAAAAAATATAATTTAATAATAAATATAACTATATATATATATATTAAACCAGATATATAATATATAATCTAATAATTAGATCATAAATAAGGATGCTGCCTCACGCGCCTCGCTCATATATTCCTCTGTATAATATAAAACGCAGTATGCATCTAAGTATGTACAAATCTAAACACGAAACCGAGAACGAATATTTGCGAAGAAGCGAAATATGTTCATCGTTCAGAGATCACGGTGGAAGCACACGCGCTTTCGTAATTAGCGAATATGCTTTCACTACTTAAAAGCGTTCGAAAATTGGATATGGGAAAAAATAGTAGCAGACCATCCTTGACGTTCGATCAAGACGTTGATATTCTTCAACGTAATAATACGTTCGTCCTCCATGCTTTCTTTTCTCCTTCAGGCATGGTCAGCCTGCCCAACATTGAGAGGAAGCTGCGCGAGGGATACGATCTCACATTCACCAAGATTCAGCCACTCGTCATGGCTCGCACCATCGTGCCGACACACGCCGGTCTGCCCTTACAGCTGCACCTGTGTGGAGTCAAGGTCATCACCAACAAGGGCGTCGTGAGAGGTTCCTTCGAGCCGGCTCTGTACCAGACCCAGCGCCTCAACATTCCAAACTCTCTGACACTGACCGCGGACATCGTCCCAAGGTCAGTGCGCGCTTCAGCGCCATCTAGCGTACTCTAGCGTAGACTAGTCGAGCAGCTATAGCATATTCGCATTGTCGCAATAATATATTTTCTGTCAATGCCCACCAGTTTCTGATCACGGCACTATAGCAACTTGTGCGAATAATCAAAATATGCCGACACAGTTAAAGTATATATGTAACCTCGACTATCGTGCTATAAAATCACGCCTCATACTTGCATTGTCGCAATATTTTTCCTGCAGACGCCCACCACCTTGCTATACGCAGTACCCACACATTACCGTAATACCGTAATGGACTCACGTTGATAAATCTTCTACCAATGTACCATATTTAAATAAAAAAAATAAAAATAAATATCGCAATATTATAAATAAATGAAATTAATTAATTGAACATTTAAATTTAACAATATTATTATTAATAAATAAATAAATAAATGAATAAATAAATAAATAAATACGTTCTCATTAATTCCTACAGGGTCATCGTTGACATCGTCGGAAACATGACAGTCAAGCTGGCCACCTTCAGCGCAGGCGCTGGCATCACCGCTCAGCTCGCTGTTGAGAAACCGATCCGTGGCAGCGTTAACATCGACATCGCCACCAAGCAGCTGACAGTCGATATGGAGCCCGTCGAGGTGCGTATGTGGATAGAGAGGGGGGGGAGACAGTGAGAGAGATAGTGAGAGGAGAGAGACAGTGAGAGAGATAGTGAGAGGGAGAGTTAGATAGATAATAGATAGATAGATAGATAGATAGATAGATAGATAGATAGATAGATAGATAGATAGATAGATAGATAGATAGTATAGATAGATAGATAGATAGATAGATAAATAGATAGATAGATAGATAGATAAATAGATAGATGGATAGACATAGAGAGAGAGAGAGAGAGAGAGGGGGGGAGAGGCGGAGGAGGGAGTGAGAGAGGGAGAGAGGGAGTGTGTGGAGAGAGAGCGAGCGCGAGAGAGAAAGAGACAATGAGAAAGAGAGAGAGAGAGCGAGAGGAAAAGAGACAGTGAGAGAGAGAGAGAGAGAGAGAGAGAGAGAGAGAGAGAGAGAGAGAGCGAGAGAGGGCGAGAGAGAGAGAGAGAGAGAGAGAGAGAGAGAGAGAGAGAGAGAGAGCGAGCGAGAGAGGGCGAGAGAGAGAGCGAGAGAGAGAGAAAGAGAGAGAGAGAGAGAGAGAGCGAGAGGGAAAAAAAGAGAGAGAGAGAGAGAGCGCGTGAGAGAGAGGGCGAGAAACCAGGGACCGTCGGTGGTCTTCTCTTGTGTGCTTATCACAATATATAATTAATAATATTATATGTATTAATAATATTAAATATCAAACGCTTACTCGTGTATTCAACAACATGAGTAGAACACGATTGCATCTGCATGCCAGTATTGTGACCATCGTTGACTCTTTCTTCGCACAGACCACCGAGTTGGAAGTAGCGAAGTTTGAGGTAAAGCCAGTCACCTACTTTATCCGCACCCCATTCACCAGCTTCGTGTCCCGCCACGCCTACGTGAGCGGTCCCAGCTACTACCAAGAAGAGCTGATCACCGGAGAGGAGAGCAGCATTCCGTACGAGGTAAATATGTGTGTCCTACTAAACTTCTTCTTCTTCTTTGTCGTAGTCTCTCGCGGATGGTCCACGCTTAGACGTCAGCTAGGGGCAGACTTCCCTGTTGATGATTTATCTCCACCTCCCTCGATCGGCCGTATCGTCCTCGGTTACTCCCAACCTTCTCATCTCCGCCTCCACTCCATCCCTCCATCTAACTCTCTGTCGTTCTCTCATCCTTCTTCCTCTTACCGGCTCCTGCCTCTTATGTGCCCTACTCAACAAAATGTTGTTAATAATGGCGGGAAGGAGAGGGGGCGAAGGATATTATATTGTACTGTTATTATTTGAGCTCGGTACATATTGAGGTGTTGCACATTAAATAAATATATATATATATAATATAGTAAGTAATATATAATATATAGTATATATATAATATATATATATATATATATATATATATATTTGTGTGTGTCGGTGTTTCATTACAATTTTATACATCTGTTTCATAATTTTCCCTTCTTTCTTTGCAGTACACCTATGAGACAGATTGCCCAGCCTTCGGAAAGCGTGCCCTCTACGCAGCGAGGCTGAACATGCCCTTGCCCGGAGCACCACACATGCCATTCAATGGATACCAGCTTTTGGCCATCCGCACCAGGCCCATCACCCCTCGCCAGGTATCGCTACGAACATGACAACCTTCTCATTGCACCAATGTGTAATCGACTGTCTAACTAATGTATAATCCAGTCCATGATAGACTAGTATACAATCTATAATGTATGTCTCGAGACGCAGTCGATACAAGAATGTGTCTCTTACGTTTATCATGATCATTACCCTTTATCGATTTAACAGGTTCAGTTCGTTCTGAAGCTCACCAACAACGCAGCCAACATCCCGAGAGTGCAGACCTCCCGCTGGTCCATCCACAGCCCGAGCCCCATCATGTCTGAGCAGCCATACACCTATGCCATATACGCTGCCGTCAAGAGTCAAGGCGATCAGGTTGGTTGTAATATGTAGTCGTAGTTGTATGTAGTAACAGGTTGTCGTTCAGTAAGACTTACAGCAGCAGCTAGCGCGTTGCGCACTTTGAAGATGGTCTTACTTATTTGGGTTGGTTGGACACAGGGTTACCAGGGTTGTAAGCGTATAGCGTGTTATTCAGTGCATATTAAAAAAAAATATCGTTGCCCTGAAGAAAGCACTGAAGAGAGCTCGTTATGCTTGCTGCTTAGTGGTATTATAGAGCATACGTATAAATATTACGTGTTTGGCTAGAGCACTTTGCCTATTACATCGCAGGTGTTCCACGAAGCTCTGCTCAGCTACCAGTACTCTGAATACTTCAAGAAGCAGTACGTAAGCTTGGAAGTTACCGGACAGGAATACATCGTAAGTTATCGTATACGCACGATTCCATTTTACATATTTTTATTGTTTAATATGTTTATATATTATATAACATCACGCCATATATGTGGCGAGATTTCGACACGATTTCGAGCATTTATTGCGATATGTTACGGAAACGTAAAAACGGATTTTCAACTTGTTACTCTTCTATTGATATTAATATCTTTACCGACCTTTGTTACAGTTCAACGTGAACGGACGCGTTCTCTTCCCTGAGATTGACGTGTCCATCCGCAGACCACTGTCAGAGCTTACCGGAATGCTAGGAAACGTAGAGGGTGAACTCAACATTGAGTGGAGCCACAGACAACAGGCAAAGAAGGCCGTCCAGATCATGGTACAATGAACCTCCCTTACACTATGTATCTTTCTATCTACTATACATTACGTCGGTTTACACGTAGAATAACTATGGGAGTAATGTGGAACCACAATGATTTCTTCTGCGGTTTCACAAACGAGATAAAATATCATAAAATTTTCACCGAAACTATCGCTAATTTCTCTAGAACCTATGCTAATGCACTTCGTTGCTTGTTCTCGGTGTAGTTCACGTCTGAGAAGACAGCGGAGCAGCTCGAATACGAGCCGGAGAGACTGAGGGAGATCTACGAGACTGAGCGCACCCCGAGGCAGTGGCGTGCGTCAGAGAGCTTCACCGAGCTGAGACAGATGACATTCATCGTGCGCAACTATGAGGAGGTGAGAGCACCACCAGTTCACATCCGAACTGGACCTTCCTTCTTCCTTCTACTGAAATCGCGAAATGTCCACCACTACGTATAGTTCCGAGTTTTAGCCGGCCTCGGATATACGGGCGCATCGCTTAAACGACATGTGTTTTTTATAAACCAACCTTACGCACGTTGTTATGGTTTCACCGCTTAATCGGGACCACCGCTTAATCGGGACAAATATTTGCTCGGTTCCAGACGTATCCCGATGAACCGGGGGGAGCTGTGCTACAATACTACTATGTAGATGACACCGTTGATATACCGACTGGCTTCGCACACATTCCTGCTACTAACGTGGCATTATGTAAAACAAAATAAATATGTTTATATATCTATAAAATCATGTCATATTGTTTAATATGTTTACAGATTCCAGAGTACCTGGCTGAATACATGTACAAGTACCACCTGTACACGATGGGCAAACTGTGGAGCTACATTGGAGAGCATGAAGTCACCTTTAGATCTGCCCCGAGATACACTCCAGGACAGATCAAGGCGCGTCTACATATCTTACTGGGCAGACAGAACTATATATATATATATATATGAGATTAAAAAAACGTGTTTGGCAGAAATTTAGCGTTGCGTACACGAACGGTTTGAAGTTAGAAGCTTCAACTTGACTTTAACCTTAAATTAACTTGATAATAAAACGAATATTTATAGATGTTACTTGTGGAACTATTTATGTATAAATTGATGCTCCGAAACGTAAATGTGATTTATTAGCTAGACTACATTTCACAGTAATTATCCTTACGCTCATTATTTTCACCTATGAGTTTACTCTATAGTTGATCATCGTATGACCGTAATGATCCTTACGCTCACTATTTTTGACTTCATAGTTCATCACCAAGCTGTACCCCAACAACCGTCAGGTCGACGTGATCATTGAGAGCCCACAGCAGAAGGTTTCCTACCTGCGCCTGCCTCTCCCCTTCGCCCTGGAGCCTCTCTCATACCGTAGGAGCGTCTTCACCAACTACATCCAGAAGGTCACCGGTGATAGTAAGCTATATACTAGCTCTACTACTATACGATCTATACGATATAAATATATGTATATACAGGACTATCTATACAAGTCTATAATACAATTATTTTTCTTAATGCCATGGTAAATACCATAGCACAAACCACAACCATTCAAGCCGCAAAATGTACTGCTAATAATAACAATTTGTTTTTTTCATCATTAGAACATTTTCATTAAGTTATACTGGACAGTGATTTGTTTAATATATTTACGTGGCGTTTTTTTTACCGTTTTCTGGAACCGTAATAATATACCCTAAATACTATTCCGGCGACCTGCTGCTTGAACGGCTATGTTGTATGTTGTATGTTGTATGTTGTATGTTGTATGTTGTATGATGTATGTTGTATGTTGCATGTTGCGCGTTGCAGCATACTGCGAGCTGTACAGCAACAACCAGCTGCGTACATTTGATGCCGTCAACTACACTCTGCCCCTGAAGTCGTGCGAGCACATCCTGGCCAAGGACTGCAGCAGTGACAACGCATACACTGTCGTTCTCAGCAAGGACTCGACCACCAACAAGAAGGTAAGTACTGCATGCACAGGCCACCGATCTAACGTCATTTTTGTTGCTACATAGGCAACTACGTAGAGAGAAGGGGAGAGAGAGAGAGAGAGAGAGAGAGAGTGAGAGAGAGAGTGACGAGAGGAGAAAGAAGCAGAGAGAGAGAGAGAGATGAGAGAGTGAGAGAGGAGAGGAGAGAGAGAGAGTGGCGAGAGAGAGAGAGAGAGAGAGAGAGAGAGATACAGACACAGAGAGAGAGAGAGAGTGTCAAGCATAGGACTATAGTATCGCAGCTTCTTTACGTGTCCCTCTTTTTAACGTCGTAGATTGTGAAGATCATGACCGAGGGCAAGACTGTTGAGATCATGACCCCTACTAAGGTGATCGTTGACGGAGCGCCCATTAACGCACAGGAGGAGTACATTGTCAGGTAGGCTTCCTTACCTGTCGCCTCTTTCTATGCAGCCGCGAAGACCGCAGAACGCCGTCTATTTTCTCTGTTCGTTTTTTACTACTAGCTCACTTTGGCGGTTATACTTTGATATACTTTGCTGATATACTTTATATACTTTGTACGCGACATATTGTGCTCGGAGTATCTATCTACATACGACGTGGAAAAACTATGCGAAACCACAACGTTGCTACTAACCAATGCTATAAGACGCATGCAAATGCTATGCAAAGCCATAAGACGCACGCCAACGTTATGCGAAGCTATAAGAAGCATGCAAATGCTATGCAAAGCTATAGGACGCATGCAAATGCTATGCAAAGCTATAGGACGCATGCAAATGCTATGCAAAACCATAATTAAGACGTATGCAAATACCTATGGAAAGCAATAACACGCACACGCACACCGTTGTTGTTTAACAGGAAGGACCCGTCCAACGCCAGCAGCAAGGTTGTGCTGAAGGTCATGTACGAAGCTGCCAACCTCGTTACGGTCAAGGCCCCGGAGATCGGTCTCATCGTCAGCAGTGACGGCGCCAGCGTCAAGATCGAGGTGAGGAGAAACTCATTACATTAAAACACTTTCCCCGCAGCCGCCAATTCAATTCTAACGACAAGTGACCCCTTCCCTAAGACGAATGTTTTGCGCAGCGTATTCGTGAGTAATTACGTTCAACAAACTATGGCTAATGCATCGCCAACGAAAAAATAAAAAAATATAATTTCCAATTTCGTGACATCGCCGCGGCGATTGGCTCATCAGTGATGACGTGACTCACTAATGTCGTCCTCCTCTTGGCAGCTGCCCAACCGCTACAGAAGCAAGCTGTGCGGCCTGTGCGGCGACTTCAACAGCGAGATGAAGGACGAGCTGGTCGGACCAAAGCGCGAGATCTACACCAACCTGCACCACTTTGTCAAGAGCTACGTTATCCCGAACAGCTGCCAGGTGAACGGAGACTACGAGTCGTACGGCGCATACAGGCCCTACGAGTACGAGACCGAGCAGGGCAACGCCTACAACAGGGCCTACGAACCCGAATCCGGCGTGTACGGAGAGAGGACCTTCGAACCCGAATCCGGTGTGTACGGAGAAAGGCCCTTCGAACCCGAATCCGGCGTCTACGGAGAAAGGACCTTCGAACCTGAATCCGGTGTCTACGGAGAAAGGACATACGAACCCGAATCCGGCGTGTACGGAGAAAGACCCTGGGAATCCAAGACCGGCGTTTACGGAACCAGGGGCTACGGAATCGGATCCAACGAGTACGGAGTCAGGCCGTATGATAGCGAGGATGAATCTATCCAGTATTCGTGGCCGACCAACGCATACGACTACGTACGTTCACTGACCCGAAGCACAATTTTGACTCCCCTCCCCCCCCCCGACGCAGATGTACGACGGGGGGGGGGGGGGGTGCATCGTTATAAAGATCAGCGCCGATATCTATTTTATATATTATTATATATATATATTAATTTATATTATTTAATTATAACCTATTGCTGTTGTGCAATGAGAGGAAAGCCGGCATTTAAACGCGCTCTACGATTGTATCAATAATAATTTGCTCTTCTCGCTACTACATAATAGCGGTTGCCAAGTAGGTTGTAGCATGTGACGATCTATGAGGAGTAATCCATGCAAGCTCGTTCTTATATCAATTCTTTGATTCATTGTAGGAGAACCCAGACTTCATCAGACCAGAGTTGGAAGATGAGTTCGAAGAGTCCAGGCTGCCAGTTGATACCTTGTTTGGTGAGTATTATATACTATTAGTAATATAATAATTGGTAATAACTCTAGTTTATCGTATAACACATCACTCGTGCATCCTAACGTGCTACCTAAGACCTGTCACACCGCAACGTATTAAACTCTAATTTGCTCCAAGCTACGCGTACTTGCCTCAATATCTAAACTGCTATGTGTGAATTAAACGATGACAGACTATAAACACACACGTGCGTCTAAAGAATAATGTCATGCAGCCGTCTCCTCCGCAGGACACGGAACCGTTCGCAAGACCATGGTCATCGAAACCGACCAGTTCCCGCCGCAGATCTGCTTCTCCGTCGTCCCCATCGTCGACTGCCAGCAGGGATACTATCCGGAGCCATCCGTCAGCAAGCAGCTGAAGGAGACTGGCTTCACCTGCATCGACGCCCGCGAGCCTTCCGCAGTGGAGAAGAAGCGCGAAGCCATGATCCGCGTTCTGCCGGAGATGGCCACCAAGACGATCCACCGCAAGCAGATCGTCGAGGAGCCAAAGCAGTGCACCCAGAGATATTAGATGCGGAGATAGCATACGGATAATAAATCGCCCCATGGTGAACCCGCTGTGCCGCGTTGATTGCAGTCTACAGTAACGACGGCCGCAGGTTCAATGATTCACCAGCAGTGGGTGGTTATGGTTGACGCACGCCCATTCGCTATAGATCGACCAGTGTTCTGTTTTGAGTATACGTAGTCGTAATAACGTAGGTTCTTTCTTGGATTTGCTGACGCCTAATAAGATATAAATGAAAAACATTGCCGCTGTGGAGCAATAAATTATTCGCTTTAATCATACCGTTATTTATATTGTTTCAGTTCTTGAATGTAATGCAGCAGATGACTTTCATGACTATAGCAAACTTTCTAATTCATTACTGACCTGTATCAAAACGCAGTATGAAGTCAGCATTCACATTGAAAGTATCAGAGTTAAAATTTTAAACGATTTGTTGACAGTTTGTATTAACGGATTTCCTTCCTCGTCTAAATATCACCTTCAATGCCAATTCCGAGCAAACTTCTATAGTGAATCTCGTTATGATAGAAATCGCTAGTGTTACTAGATGTTAGCCTTAAGGCATTGTTAGCAATGTGTTGTCATCAATGGAAATTGCCATAAAAGACGGCATGATCTATGCCGGGTTTAGCATATTGTAACTCGCGACTTTTCTTGAACTATATATTCGTTGTTTTATTGAGAATATATAACCAGTTGTTTTTGTAATTCTTGTTGCACATTGCCAGAGAAACAATCCTTGATGTTCTATGCCGGGTTTAGCATATTGTAACTCGCAACTTTTCTTCAACTATATATTCGTTGTTTTATTGAGAATATAAAACCAGTTGTTTTTGTCATTCTTGTTGCACATTGCCAGAGAAACAATCCTTGACAACAATTTTGCGAATTCATTGCGAGGCAGTAGATATCGAATAAAAGACGTTTTATTTACTTTGGCAAAGTAGTCTACATGATATCACAGAGTACACACGTACTAAACAAGAAATTCATTGAAATGTATATACATGCAACAGATACATTGTAGCCACAATCAAAATACATTTATATATATACTATTTATTTTACTTCTGCTACTACCAGAATCAAGACAAATCGTAAATAACATTTAAAATTGTAACTCGCGACTTTTCTTGAATTATATATTCGTTGTTTTATTGAGAATATATAACCCGTTGTTTTTGTCATTCTTGTTGCACATTGCCAGAGAAACAATCCTTGATGTTCTATGCCGGGTTTAGCATATTGTAACTCGCGACTTTTCTTGAACTATATATTCGTTGTTTTATTGAGAATATATAACCAGTTGTTTTTGTCATTCTTGTTGCACATTGCCAGAGAAACAATCCTTGACATCAATTTCGCGAATTCATTGCGAGGCAGTAGATATCGAATAAAAGACGTTTTATTCACTTTGGCAAACTAGTCTACATGATATCACAGAGTACACACGTACTAAACAAGAAATTCATTGAAATGTATATACATGCAACAGATACATTGTAGCCACAATCAAAATACATTTATATATATACTATTTATTTTACTTCTGCTACTACCAGAAACAAGACAAATCGCAAATAACATTAAAAATGTTATACTTCATGTTTACAAATCAATACATAATTTGCTAAAACCGACATCATGTACACACGCACGCATGCACATACACACAAACGCACACATACAATCCAAACACACACATACGCACGCACGCACACGCGCACACACACATACGCACGCACGCACA